GAGACTTATTTTGTGACCCAACATCCAGGTCTATCCAGGAGAATGTTCCATGTGTATTTTAGAAGAATGTGTATTCATTCTGCTGTTTGAATGGAACGTTTTATATATATTTATATGTTCATTTTCGTTGGCTTCTAGTGTTAGGTTTTTTCTTTCCTTGTTTATCTTTTGTCCAGTTCTCTCCATCACTGAATGTAGGGTGTTGAAATCTCCAATTGTTATTGTAGAATTGTCTCATTTCTTTCTTTAGTTTTGTCAGTTTTTGCTTTAGATATTTTAAGGTTCTGTTGTTAGCCCTATTGTGTATATGTATTGATGATTGTTTCTTTCTTTAAAAAAGTAGGTCAGTTTTTCTTTATTGGTAAGCAGGCAGGTGGTAGGCAAGTCAGGATGCTGGGGAGCAGCTGAGGAGAGGGTTCTGCAGTTGCCATCACAGTATATAATTGCTGTATCTTCTTGATGAATTGACTCTTATTATTATATAATTATTTTATGTAAATTATTATTTATCATTATTCTTCTTTGTCTCTTGTAACAAGTTTTTTCTTAAAGTCTCTTTTGTCTGATATTAGTATAGCTGCTACGGCTCTCTTTTGGTTACTGTTTGCAGGCAATATCTTTTTCTATCCTTCCACTTTTAACTTATATGTCTTTTTGAATCTAAAGTGAGTCTTTTGTAGAAAGTCTGTAGTTAGATCATTTTTTTAAAAATCCATCTGCCAATCTGTGCCTAAGTCTCTGACTTAGGGTGGTTCAACTTAAAATTTTTTTTCTTTTACAATGGTACAGAAGTGGTACACATTCAGTAAAAACTACCTCAAATTTTGATCTTTTCTGGGCTGGTGATACTTGGTCCAATACCCTCTTGTGTTGCTGGATAGTGGCAGTGAGCCACAGTTTTCAGTCAGCATGCAATCACAAGGGTAAACAACCAATACGCTTACAACCATTCTATACCCATATTACCATTCTGTTTTTCAATTTCAATATAGTATTCAGTAAATTATGAGATATTCAGTGCTTTACTGTAAAATAAGCTTTGTGTTAGATAATTTTGGCCAACTGTAGGCTAATATAAGTGTTCTGAGCACATTTAAGGTAGGCTAGACTAAGCTATGATGTTCAGCAAGTTAAGTGTATTAAATGCATTTTTGGCTTAACAGTATTTTCAACTTGGTATAGGTTTATTGGGATGTAACCCCATTGTGAGTTGAGGAACATTTCTATTTTATTTCTCAAATTCTCCATTACTGTCTTCTTTTTTGTTAGATATTTTCCAGTGTACCATGTTGATTCCCTTCTCATTTTTTTATCATGTATTTTTTAGTTATTTTCTTAGTTGCTCTGGGGATTATAATTAACATCCTAATTCATAGCAGTCTAGTTTAAATTAATGCCAGATTAGTTGCAACAGTATATAAAAATCTTGCTGCTGTATAGCTCCATTCCCCCCCTTTATGTTGTCATTGTCACAAATTGCTTCTTTATACATTGTGTACCCATCAACATAGAGTTATAATTATTTTTTTATATTATTTCTATATGGATTTGAGTTTCTGTCTGGTGTTCTTTCATTTTCAGCCAGAAGGACTCTGTATAGTATTTCTTGTAGAATAGATCTAGCAATGAATTCTGTTTATCTGGGAATATCTTAATTTCTGCTTCATTTTTGAAGAATACTTTCGCCAAATTCACAGTTCTTGGTTGGCAGTATTTTTTCTTTCAGCAATTTGTGTATGTTATCCTATCACTTTCTGGCCTTTGAGAACCAATGAATGAATGAGTAAATGAATAAATACACACAAACATGCGTGTGTGTGTGTGTGTGTGTGTGTGTGTGTGTGTGTGTGTGTGTAAAATCTCATTTTTACCTCTCCATTGGTATGCTGGTAAATGTTTAGTGACTGGCTTTCCAGGAAAGAAAATGTATGCACATATATGCATACATGTTTATTATAAAGTTGCTGATATAAAGGATGTATAGTACACCATTTATAAATAATAATAAAATGTAGAATACTCTTTTTTTTTTTTTTTTTTCAGTTTTACTTATTTAAGTAATCTCTACACCCAGTGGGGGGCTCAAACTCATAATCTGGAGATCAGGAGTTGCATGCTCTTTCAACTCAGCCAGGCAGGTTCCCCCAAATGGTACTCTTTATTGTAAATCTGTAGCCAACTAAGTCTTACAGAAAGCTTTCATTGATTTGATTTTTTTATGGAGATTAATTTCACATAATAAAATTCACCATTTAAAAGTGAACAATTCAGGGGCACCTGGGTGGCTCAGTTGGTTGAGCATCCAACTCTTGATTTTGGCTTCAGGTCATGATCCCAGAGTTGTGTGATCGAACCTCGCATTGAGCTCCATGCTGAGCATGGAGCCTGCTTGGGATTTTTTTTCTCTCTCCTTCTGCCTCTCTCCCCTGCTCTTTCTCTCTTTCTAAAAATAAATAAATAAATAAAAATAATAAAAGTGAACAATTCAGTGCAGTTAGGACATTCACAATGTTGTCAACCACTACTTGTATCTAGTTCCAAAACATTTTTACTACCCTAAAAGGAAACTCATTAAAGAGTTGCTCCCTTTCCTCTCCCCCTGCAAAGACCCTGGCAACCACCAATCTGTGTTCTGTCTCTATCGATTTACCTATTTTGGATATTGCATATAAAATGGAATCATATGATACATGATCTTTTTGGTCTGGCTTTTTCACTTAGCATAATAGGTTCAAAGTTCATTTGCTTTGTAGCATGTATCTGTACTTCATTCCTTTTCATGGTGGAGTAATATTCTGTTGTATGTATACACCACAATCTGTTTATCCTTTTATCTGTTGGTGGACATTTGGGCAGTTTCTACCTTTTGATTATTGTAAATTGTGCTGCTATGAACATGTATATCCATACTTTTTTTTTTTTTTGGTACCAGTTTTCAGTTTTTTGGGGCATATACCTAAAAATGAAATTGCTGGGTCGTGTGGTAATACTGTGTTTAATTTTTTAAAAATTTTTTTTTTTTTAACGTTTATTTATTTTTGAGACAGAGAGAGACAGAGCATGAACGGGGAAGGGGCAGAGAGAGGGAGACACAGAATCCGAAACAGGCTTCAGGCTCTGAGCTGTCAGCACAGAGCCCCACGCGGGGCTCGAACTCACAAACCGCGAGATCATGACCTGAGCCGAAGTCGGCCGCCCAACCGACTGAGCCACCCAGGCGCCCCCTGTGTTTAATTTTTTGAGGAACCACCGAACTGTTTCTTCGTAGTTGCTGAACCATTTTACATTCTTACCACCAACATATGAGGTTTTTCGTTATTTTAATTTTGCTAAACTTATGTATCCTTATCTAACCTATGGAATTGTTTGGCAAAATCACACTACCAATTAGCATTTGATTGCTATCCAGTTCAAAAGAAGTTGCTAACCTCATGGTGAACAAGTACTATTTTAACATGAATGCTGATTGATATTTTTGCTTATGTTAACAAGTGTGATGAAAATGAAACAACAAAGGCATATTTTTTAAATTGAAGTATAATTAATGTAAAATATCCTGTTAGTTACAGGTGTACATTATAGTATTTTAGTATTTTTACACATTATGAAATAAGTCCCACAATATGTCTAGTTACCATCTGTCACCATACACAAAGGTATGTGTGTATGTCTTTATATGTGGGCTGTCTTTCCCTCCTGGAGGTTCTTATCCAGGACTCAGTTCTGTTGCCTCCTGTTTCATTGATGCCTTCTCTCACATCTGGTCTGAGTTAACTTCCCTCTACTTTATCACCTACTTATTCATCATCATTTCACCCAGTGTAGTTTCTTCATAACTCCTAGTATTATCAGAAATTATTCATGTATTTGCTTGCATGTTAATTGTCCTTTACTCCACTAGACCATAAACTCCAAGAGAACAGGGACCTTGTCTCTTGTTCCCCACTGCCTGGAACAGTGACTAACATATAGTAGGTATCAATAAATATTTGCTGAATGAAAGAATGAATACTCTAAATAAAAGATAAAAATGGCTTCCTTACACATGGCTTTATCAAATTCTCTTCTTTATTGTAATCCTTATTAGATAGAAAAATATATAATCTTACAGGTTTTTAAAACTTGTTTATATTTGGATTAGTTCGCAAATTCTGTTTGTTCTTGGATTTTAGATCTTGGACTATATTGTAACTGTCATGATGAAAATATTTATCATCTATAAGTGAACCTTCTTGATTAGAACTTCAACACAAACCTGTCTCATGCTGAATTCTATATTATAACAGATTCTGTAATGATTAATTGCCTTATAGTATATTTAAAATTAAGGGGAGAAAGTATGCTAAGAATTAGGTTTTGAAGAAGGTATAATAATGTAATATTTGATGATTTTTTTAACCAAAAAATCTTGAAGGTAAAATGACATTGAATCGAAGAATTTGTTTTACTAAGACTTTAGAAGTGCTTTTTATCAGTGTAAAATGCCTCTGTAACGATTGTGTTATAGTGGCAAAGTATAAGAAAATTGTTTCTTTTTCTTTTGTTGAATTACCTTTTTAAATTGATAAATTATCTTTTGTTTTTAAAGTTTATTTATTTTTGAAAGAGAGAGAGCATGCACATGAGAGCATGAGCATGGGGTAGGGGCAGTGAGACCCAGGACTCTGAACTCAATCTTAAGCAGGCTCCACGCTCAGTGTGGGGCTCAGACTTGCAAACCATGAGATTATGACCTGAGCTAAAATCCAGTTGGATACTTAACTGACTGAGCTGCCCAGGTGCCCCAAGTTGATAAATTATCATACCAGAGTACATTTTAACTTTCAATGATTAATGCAGAAAGCATTGGGTGAATAGATTTATAACTCTCCAAAATAAAGCTTTTGGAGAGTTAAAAATAGAAATAGAAGAATTTTTTTCCTGTAATGAACTATGCTTTTTGGATGTCATTTTTAAAATTTTAACACCAAACCTAATATCCTTATCTCTTCCACATTTAGGTTCGATTAGTGATAGTGGATGGTATTGCTTTTCCTTTTCGTCATGACCTAGATGACCTCTCCCTTCGTAGTCGATTACTAAATGGTCTAGCCCAGCAAATGATCAGCCTTGCAAATAACCACAGATTAGCTGTAAGTATTATTAGTCAAGAGAACTTTATAATGAAGTCAAGATTGTATAACATAGTAATGTCTAGAAATAGCAAAATAGAATTTGACTAAAAGCAAATAATGCAGACACAGTTTTGAATGTAGTTTTGGTTTGATTTCTGGAAAAAATTAATTCTAGACATAAATGTTTCTATCAGTTTTCCTAGAGAATAATAAGCATAATCAAGATGCTGTATTTTATTTTTATTTATTTATTATTTATTTATTTATTTTTGTTTTATTTTTTAAATTTACATCCAAGTTAGTTAGCATATAGTGC